ATTCCCACCAGCTTCAAAGCAGAAAAAGAAAAAAATAATGGTTCCCTGTGATGGGACTGGTACCAGCTCGGCCTTGGATTTTGTACCTGGGGCTATTTGTAACACTAAGTTTCTCAAGGCAGTGGAACAACACCTCTTCAGAATTCAGAGGGAAAACTCAGTCTCCAAGAATTTTATCTCCTTTTGAATCTGAAGGCAACTGGAAAATGTTTTGAGTTAGAAGCTTGGAAAACAGGCCTGTCCAAGTTCTACAGCAGATTAAACTAACATGCAAAGAAATAAAATAACGTAAAATGAAATAAAATAAACTTGCATTAAAACGCAGGCTTCTAGAAGGTGGCAGCCATGGCCTAAAGGGACGGCTTGGCCACGGTGGACCCCTCCAGGCCCCCTGCCCTGTGCGGCCTCTGTCGTCTGTCTTGTCTGCTCCCTCTTGTGCAAAGCCAGGAAGTGTGTGTTCGAGCCACATCCTTGGCCCAGCGGCTCGGACGGAATCTTTACCTCACTTGGCGACCACTCAGAACAATAGCAGCTGCCACCCTCTTCCTGAGCTTAATAACAATGGCTCAACCGTCAACCCTCCCGGACACTTGTGACCGAACAGCTTTTAGAAAGTTGTTTTGTTTTCTCTCTCCAAAAGCCACACTGCCCAGAGCAACGTGCGGGCCAACGTCAGGGACCAGGAACTGAGTCATGGGTCTCACCCGACTCGAGCCGCTGGGGTTTTCTTCTAAATGGGGAAAGAATACCGAGAGTCTACAAGGCTGACAGTTTCAAACTCCCTCTTCACATAAACGTGCCTTAAAACCTGTGTGTGTCTCTGACTTGACTTTGACAGTCAACGTCCTGAACAGAATCTCAACCACGAGAAAAGACAGGAAGCTCGCAGCGAATTCGGCTCTGAGGGGGGAGTCGGGGCGGTTTTTATTTTCAGCTTTATTCTCCTTGGTAAGAAGGATGTCAGAAGAACAGCAAGGGTTGAGGGGGTTGTACGAATGGAGCCAAAGGGCCCCCTTTGCTTGGACTGTGGTGTCAGGCTGTTTATGTGACAGGCCTGCCCTGGGGCCTCCTTTCAGCCCCTCAGGCTGGCGCATCAGGACTGCTCATCCTGCTTCAGACTGAGCCCCGTGTCCCAGGGAGGAGGGTCATTGCAAAAGGCAGCAGGAGCCTCACGGCTCATTCCGGAGTCAGCCCTCCTCCTCTGAGGGTCACTTCCCTTTCCAAGCTGGGGAGGGAGTCTGGGCCTTACAAGAAACCACTCTCGGTGCGGGACACCCAGGGCCGAGGGGCTGGCCTCCCTCTGGCCTCACATGGTGCTCAGAGCCCTGCCCACCCCACCCCCAGCACAGCAGCTCAGCCTCCAGTCCAGAATGTTCTCAGGACCTAGGGTGGCTGCTGAACAACTTAAATCCATGGGTTCCTGAGGTAACTGAGACACAATCCACAGCCCACAGAGCAGAGATTAGGGAACCTGATCCCCCCCAAACCTGCCCCCTTCCCACCACCCCAAGGCACGGCCTAGAATCTTCTAGAACACCGCCTGGCTCCCTGCCCCCCTACTCTTCTGCCTCTTTGCCCTACACCTACTTCTATCTTTTCTTCTGTCACAACTGCCCCCACACTCACCTTAACTCCTCTCTCTTTCTTCCTTTGCTTTTTCCTCCTCCCTCTTATCTTTCTCTTTCCCTCTCTCCTTTTTTCCCCTCCCTTCTTTACTCTCGCTTGTCTTGCTCCCTCTTTCCATCTCATTTCCTGCCATTCTTCCTCCTCCCTCACCTGAGCACGAGGCAGAGCTCACTTATGTGGGTTCTCAGATGCCACAGATTCGTGTGAGGTCTGTTCCCTCTCACAGCAGGTAGAGCCAGTAACAGTGGTGCCGGCGGCTCCCCCACACCAACCGCTCCCCAGGGCTGGGTATTTTATGGGTACCCAGGGGCATGTGTGTGACTCCCACTTTCCAGTGGAGTCACATCCTCGCCCAAGGCCACCCAGCTGGCACAATCTTGACTCGAGACAGCCGGGGATAGAGCCGTCTGCTTGTGCTCCAAGAGCTTCACTGATGGACCGCATTTGGGATCAAATGTTATCTACATCCATGGGAGGAAAAGAGGCCTCCCTCTTTGAGAGGCTACGTCTCCCTGCCTCCCCCTCTTCCTAAGGGCAGATCCATCCTTCCCCAAGAACGCCCAGCCAGGTGTGGACACACTTTCTGGGGTCGAAGAAAGAAAGAAGGGTAGGTCTGGAGACCGGCTGTGAGCCCCACTTCTGCAGGACTCAGCTACATTCATACGTAAAGCAAGGGGGTGAATGAAGTTACGATTTACACCCTTCCCTCCCATCTCGGATTTTTCATAAGTCTAAGAAGGTGGAGTGAGAATAAAGTCACTAAACGTCAGGATCACTTCTTTGCCTGAGCTACGTGGGACCGTCACGGGCCATGACACGCGGCCAACCTCATGAAGTCGCTTTGCAGCAGATGAGGACGGAGCAGCTCTTCGAGTTTGTCAGAAAGACGGGGGCCCCAGCGCGAAGAGCTAAGGTGATTAAAATAAGATGAAAGCCTTTGCTGCTTCACTTGGCAATGTTTCAGGCCCGATTCTTATTTTGGGGAGCCTCATATTCCGTGGCCCCAAACAGATTCAGGTGTAAGGAGTGAGTTATTTAGAAACTGTGGCTAAGCTCAGAAAAGAGTATGAGGTTTTGCCTCAACATGAAAAGAGGAACTCGAGTTAAAATAGACCCCGATCGGTACCTGCGGGAGCTCCGTCCGCGCCAGGACCCGGCCTAACTGTGCATGTGCTTTAACCGGCTCCTCAGCACACGGTGACTCTGGTTATTCCGTAAGGTGATGTATATTTTGGGGAAGGCAGAGCCTTAGGAGTGGAAGTCGCCCTGGCTGCCAGGGCCCCATAGCTCCCTGTACCTTGGTGACCAGGTGTTGGCCACCAAGGAGGTCGCAGGCCCAGTGCTGGTGTTAGGGGCAGACATGTCCAGCAGGGCCCCAGTTTTTCTCCGAAACCTGCCTGCTCATCACCCTGGCTGAGCATGGGCCTCAGGCAACCACAATCTGTCCCCAAAGCCTGGAAAGGCCCCGGATTCTGAAGCTGCTGCGGGACAGACAGTCAGTCCCAGGAAAGTGTGATGCCTTTGGCAGCAAGAGGTGAAGGGGAGAGGGAACAGACCTAGAAGCAGTCTAGACGTTTAGAGCTGTGGGTATAGACTCTATACAAGAAGCCACAAAGTCATGTATTTTCCAGCTTAAGGCCTAGTCATACTTAAAGTCTTCTTCCCTTTGAAGGAATAGAAGAAACCACAAGGGGGAAAATAGATCAAAAGCACTGACTAACTTTTAACTTAAGAGAGTTTAGACTCCTTTCAGCAAACCACCTATCAAGGATGCCACCTTTGTGGGAAAGTTCACGCAGTCCTAGACCTGGGAAAATGAGAGTCCTCTGAGCCTCACTGTCTGTCCCAGGGAGGCCCCCCTCGGGCGGCCTCTTCCCTGATAGGTGAGGAGCCCACAGGAGAGGCAGCTGTCCCAGTGATGAGCAGTGGCCAAGTCTTAAGACGACCGTCCCATACTAGGCATGCCACCATTGGTCCCTGGTGACGAGGCTGAGAAACATGGGCGTGTCTACCCAGAAACACTCAGTGGATATTCTTTAGACACTAGTGCAGATGCACGTATGGGAAGGACCAAGAAGCCAGAAGCAACACTCAGCCTGCCCTCTACAGTGGGAAGCAATTCTGCTTGAGCCCAAACTTTCATCTCCATGGAAGCCCTGCAGCAAACAGCCCCACTCCCGAGAAGGCAGCTTCATGAGCTCCTGGGTTGGCTCATGCCAGGCCCTGAGGGTCTCAGCGCCTGTGCCAAGTGGCTCATTGAAGTGGTTTCTTTGATCCCCATACACAGTCTCCCAGAGGCATTCTCAGCTTCTTCGGCTTGACGTATTTACAGTGACTTGTGCCCCAGGGACCTGCCTGCTGTCCTGCCCTTGAGTCCAGCTCTGTCTGTACAACTGCATCCTAGTTCTGCACAAAATGCATCATTCCTTCCACATCTTCTGATCAGTGACTCCACGCCACCTCGCCCCTTCCACTTCTACTTCCTTTTCAACGAAACCTCACAGACCCTGTCGTCACTCCCCTATGACGTGGTGTCCCAACCCTCATCTATCGCGGCTGCTCTGCTCAGCACGTGGTGGGGGCACTCCGCCGGCTGGTGCCTCTCACCAAGGGTTGGAGAACTGAGAGTGACTCCTCCACCCCCACTGTGGACACGAAGAGCGTCACCTCCTTTGTTCTGCCCACCTCATGCTCTATCGGTGCAGCCAGAGAAAAAGCTCCTCTGGCCTCCACATCACTTGGCTGAAATGCACTGTGGTCACAAAACACCTGTGGTGTTTGCCATGCAAACTGTATGGAGGGTGGTCTTCCCAGAGTCGGTGCATCTCGCCTGGCTTTCTTTAACCTTTAATGCAAGTTCTATATGTTTGGACTTCACACGATGAAATCAGATGCCCTGAGCATCAGCCTTTGACAGAACAGATCTCTATGAATTAAAAGGTACTGTTTAGGGCTGATCTTTTGGGCAATCTTCTAGCCCCTCAAAAGCGAAGGTCTGTTCTCCTCCAAGTTCCCTCCCTCCTCTCCTTCCTGGTCCACTTGCTCTCATGCATTTGGATGCACTGAAGAGCATAATCGACCAGCCACAGTCCCTTCTCCTTCGTCTCAGAGCATCCTTCTTTCCTTTATTTCCCCATCACACACAGGAACACAAATAATGCCCATCATGTCACAGGGCAGGGCCCCTGCAGGGTCACAGCCTACCCACTCAGCCACCCCACCCAGCTTCTTCTAGGAGAAATACAGGCTCAGCCAAGCCCCCGTGTCTAGGCTGCTTGGGACACCTGCTTTCGTCCCTTCTTCCTCTTTTCACTCTTTCTTGGCCAACAGAGGCTCCAGTCATGGTCCGATTTCAAGGTTTATAAAGGTCTTACCTGAACAGTGAATTTATCATCCTCATTGGGCAGAATCCTGTACGTGTAAACGCAATTCCGGTACCTGAAATTGAGCAAACACTGAGTTAGAATCTGCCCGTTCCTTTTTCTGGACATCAAGCAATCCCGGAAGGAGACATTGCTTGTCCCCTTTCCCACCCCCTCAGCACTTAAGGAGCTTTAGGAGAAAGCGGCCGGGGTCTTTTGGACATGATTTACGTTGGCGTTTTGACAGCTATGCTGTCTGATCTGAAGGAGTCCACCATCTGGAAGGGCTTCCTCAGCCCTCGAGCTGTCCTGTTGGCTGAAAGAACGGAGCCAGAGGGGGTGTTTCAAGACGAAATCAGACTCCAGGGGGCTGAGCGAGGTGGGCCCGTGCCCAGCGGGTGTTAAGTGCGACCACACAGAGGGTCCCGCCGGCCAGGGCGAGGCTTTGGGTCCAGCACCTCCCTTTTGTGGGGCTCCCCCAGCCCCGTGGCTGCCTCCCCTGAAGACTCTGCCCCGAAGGTCAGCCACCATCCCTTCAGAGGCCCGGATCTTCCCCCTGCAGCTGGCGAGTGAGCCTTAGGGTTGCTTCCAACACTGAAGGGCTAGGAATCTCGGATTCTCATCTCTTTCTAGAAGCTCTGGTCCAGAGGCTCCCAAGTGGGAGAAGGAAGAAGAGCTACTTTTTACTTGCCTAAAACTTTCGAGAAGAAGGTGGAGTTGTCAAGTCTGAGCACCCTGGGAGAGGGACCCACTGAGGGATGGTCCAGCCGGGTGACACAGCCCGCAAGGAATCTGGTGGCAGGTGGCGGCCATGGAGGTCCCTTGGCTCTGCTGCTGAGCCCACAGACAGAATGGTGTGGTGCAAGGCTACTGGGTCTTACACTCCCAGTTGAAATGGCTGGTCTGTGCTCTCACCCACCATAACCTCCCCTCCCCCATTTTCCCCACTTGGGATTCTCGTGGACCATGAAATCTCGCCCAGCCCCAGGCAGGGGCCAGACTCCAGCTCACAGATACTCATCTGTTCTTGTAGTCACTGCTTCAGTATGGAAGTTTCACTTACTTCAACCCTTTCATGTGCCTGGCGCATCACTAAATATTTATGTTATTGTTTACCTTTATTTTTAAATGATACACTCGTTAAAAAAATTCAACACCCCACAGAAAGGTATAAAATGAAAAGCAAGTGTCTCTTTCCCCCACCCCTGTGAGTCCCTTAGGTTTCCTACTCCTTTCTGTAAATCATTCCAGAACATTGAAACATACACGCAAACTTAGACAGGCACGTCTTTTCAATGCATATAATTTCATACTATATACGTTGTTCTGAAATTCGCTTTTTTTACCAAAAGAATAAAGTAACCTGTCCAGCCGTGCTCCAGCACGTGGCTGTGCTGTTATCTGTTTGACTAGACTGTGATGATGGACGTGTCATTGTTTTGGCTTTTTGCTATTATAAATAATGCTGCAGCCAACATCCCTGTTCCTACCTCTTGTGTACATTGGTGAATCCAGAGTTTTAGTTTCCCTATCAGTAAAAAGGGGACAATAATAACATTTAGCTCGGAACACACTAAACATGACACTCACTGACATTTGTTAGTGATTGTGGATAAATCACTAAAAGAAGAACAGCAGGGCTGAGGGACACTGCTTTTTGCAAGAGACTAACAATTGCCTTCTAATGAAGTTGTGTCACGTTTTGTCCCCTATCAACCGGATATGAAAGTGTCAATTTCCCCACACCCTGCCAATTGGCTGTTATCAGACATTTTAATCTTCTGCAAATCTGAGAGCTGAAAGAAAAATGATGGCTTGCTTAAATTTGTCTTTCTGTGTGAGAAAGGTTGAACATCATGTTTCGCTACTTGTATTTCTTTTTCTGTGAATTCCTTTTCGTGTCTTTGCTCACACTTTTTTTGCTTCCTTTTTGATCATCTTTTGCTTATTTATTCATAAGACTTTGATATATGCTATAATATATTTTGGAGTTATTTATTTTTAAGTTTTTGTTTTCTTTTTAGCTGTGTAGTAGTTTTACAATTTTATGTGGTCAATTTTACAATATTTTTTAATGGCTTTTGAATCAATGAATGTTTATAGAAGGTTTTGGAGAATGTTTTGGGTAATTTCACTTCCACACATCTCTTCATTTCACATGGGAAAGTTCCTTTTTCTCTCTTTTTCTCATCCCTTTAATTCTCATCCTTCTGCTCCCTGTCCTTTCCCTAGAGCCTGAACTGACAGCACAACTGGCTTATCTCAGAGGTTGCAGGATGAATCTCTATCCTGTGCTACCTTACCTCTCTGAGATGTCCAGGAAATGGAGAACCCCCTCAGATCCCAGCCTAACTCCCCCATCCCCACCCCCTCCAGTCTCAGCACCCTCTGCAGAGGCTGCCAGGCACAAGCCAGAGCTGGAAGCCTGCGCTGCTCTTGGCTTTCAGCGCCTGTTCTCGCGACACTTCCTCCTATAGATATGCAAATCAGGCCACGGCCGAGAACAGCATCTTATTTGGCTGAGGGCAGCTCATCTGTGGAAGAGGCTGAACAGGCCCCAGACATCAGCTTGTAAACAGAAAGAAAGAACACAGAGTCACAAGGAGGGGAACAGAGACAGCGTACAGAGCAGGAAGGTCCTTTAGTTAGTCAAGTGTGGCAGACAAGCCTTTATGGCTTTTTCAAAGATGTTCTAGAAACACTGAAACAGAGAAACAGCTCCATATTACTCAAACAGACCAGAATTCAAAAGCTAGTACAATAGGAAGACAGGATATTTCCCCTTCGATAGTAGTATCTCAGCATCTCCAATGTACGGGCGAACACATCGTCCCTGGGGCTGAGTCAGTAGATCTTCGAGGGAAAGTGTAGAGCATCATCCCCACTCCCACCCCTGCCACACACAACCCCTGGGGGAGCAGGTGGTCCAAACTGCAGGCTGTGGGCTGCTGAGGGCTCTGCAGGGAGATGGAGGTGGACACTCCTTGGCCTCCCACACTCACTGGCATCTGTACGTCCCCCTGGTCCTTTATGCATAAACGAATACAGATACGTACGTGTGCGTATACACATACAGATACACAACATACACATATACGCATATGCATAAACATCCATATATACACACACACACACACATACAATCTTATATGTAAAATGTTTAGCGTGAGGATTCCACAACCAAATCATCTTTGACAACTACTGCACTGGAACATAATCCAGACACCGTGCTCGCTGGGGGCCATGGGTCCCCTCCAGCCCCTTCCCACCTCTTTACGGTGACCTAGTAACAATCTAGGGCGCTAACACTGGTCCTCAGCTGCTATTCCTTCCAATGACTGGGTCACATTTCAGGGCGTGTTAGGAATATTGGAGATGGGCTGGGATGATGTTGGGTCCACCCCAGTCTCATCCATCCCCAGTGCGTTAGAGTTTACTCCACTCTCAAATGCAGTGGGGCTTACAGCAAACTTCCCACGTGACTGCTCACAGCTGCTGGGTGGCTATGAGTGACTCGAGGTGCCTGTGCTGTTCCAAGCAGGAAGATGCTTCTCCCAGGAAGGGCACTTTCAGATCATGGTTTGGGAAGTTTTACTTAAGAGGATAAGCAAGTGGAAATAGGAAGAAACTACTTTGTGGCACTTTATTTATTCTCTCAGATAAATATTACTGTCTATATGACTATTCCTTGCCAAACAAACACTGACAAGCATGGCCAGAAGCATCAAAGGAGAGCCCCACAGAAAGAGAGAGAGAGAGAAATCAGACTCTGAAATTCGAGAACCTCATTAATGTCTCTGTCTCACTCTGCTGATCGACTTAGCATGTTCTGTAATTGTTTTAAACCCCTTCGTAACCTTCGTGGTATATCAGTTCCAATTTCTAATGTTGTTTGTACGTGTTTGTTCTTTTTTTCTTGCTTGAGTGTTGCCGACTTCTGGACAAGATGGGATGTGAGAACAAGACTTGGAAACTGCATTCAAAAAAGTAGAAATAAGATGAAACATAGACCAGTGTAGAAATAAAAGAAAACGTACACCAGCCCTAGGAACCAAGGGTGTTCTCTATGCATCACCAAAACCTCAAAGCATCCCAGCCAAAAGCAGTAAGAAAAAGAAGCCATTAGGTCAGAAGGAAGAAAGCAAGGGGAGGCAGCCTGGTGCCCAGGTGAGAGAGAAGATAGCTAGTGTTTGGGGGCACCTGCTAAGTCCAAGCGGCCTGGGGGTCTGGCAGGTTCCTTGCATGAGACCCTGGGAGGAAGCCCACCATCTATGTTCCACACCACCCCCGCATCACTCAACCCATCAGGTGGATTTGGGATCAGAGGGCTCCCACTCCCACCCCTGCTGGTTTTTTTATGTTTGGGAAGAGGAATTGGGCAGAAACCCACACCAACTTGAAAAAAATTAGATCCAATTTTTCCTGACAGTTCATGGTTGGAAAAGAAAAATCACCAGACCTAGAAAAACATCACCACTCAAAAGAGCAATGTCATTTTGCTATGGGCTCAAAGGTGGTATCTCCATGTTACACAGAATCACTGCAAAAAGAAAAAGGAAAGAAAACACATTCTGGAGGGGAAGTCTGATTTGTGAACTCAGTAAGATTTAAGAGACAGTTGCATCTCTGAAACTGGAAAAATCAATTGTGAACATGGAGCAGCATGATATAAGAAAAACTGACCAATGGAACAGAATAGAGAGCCCAGAAATGAACCCACAAACTTTTGGTCAACTCATCTTTGACAAAGGAGGCAAGAATATACAATGGAATAAAGACAGTCTCTTCAGCAAATGGTGTTGGGAAAACTGGACAGCAGCCTGTAAAACAATGAAGCTGGAACACACCCTTACACCATATACAAAAATCAACTCAAAATGGATTAAAGACTTAAACATAAGACAAGATACAATAAACCTCCTAGAGGAAAACATAGGCAAAACATTATCTGACATACATTTCAAAAATTTTCTCCTAGAAGAAATAAAAGCAAGAATAAACAAATGGGACCTAATGAAACTTACAAGCTTCTGCACAGCAAAGGAAA